AACAGACTGTAAGCAAGCACCAATTCAGTGCTCTGTTTCATGAGTTGCCTTGGTCCTGGCGTCTCTTCACCAGAACAGAACAGTACTGAGGCTCCCGCTATGATGGAATAATCCCCTCAATCTCTAAACTGGAAGAAACCCGCCCTCCTTAAGTTGCTTCTGTCAGGAAATTTTCTGTCAACAGAAAACAAATACCAGCCTAATAGAAGGTGGCCGGGCCACTGATGGGTATCAGTGTAATGCGTATGGGGCACAGGTCAGCTCTCCCTGGAGACAGTGAAAGCAAGACTGGCTCTTCCTCTGTCTTTGAATCATAATGACTTCTTCTGTTACACTCCTGCTGTTGTGATGTCATCTTCCATGATGACGTCACTGGAGCTGAGCAGAGGCCAACACTATGCTCATCAAATTCAAGAACTATTAGCCAAATGACCTGTTGTTTTTTTTTTTTTTTTTTTTCTCAACAGCTCCAGACATTTTGTTATTGTTGGTGTTCCTGGAAAGATATCCTGGGACTTGGGAGCCCAGGAACCACATAGCTCTGAGGTGGGGCAGAGTCCCAATGGAAGGGTATCCTGAGACTCAGTAGCCCAGGAACCAGGCGGCTTTGAGAGGAAGCCTCCTCAGTAGAGGTGTCGCAGCCAACAGCTCTGTTTCACTGTTCCTCCTCTTCAGTGCCTCAGCTCCCGGGGAAGGGTATCCCCAGCTGATCTCAGGAGCCTCAGCCCTGCTACACTTCTTCCCTTCTTGGCTTCTCCCAATGAGAGAGTCACACTGGGCAGTAAATCTCATAAAGAGATTGGAAGGGATAAACCCAGGGTTTAGAGGAACAAAGCCAGGGTGGCTGCCTCTGCTCCTAGGAAAGTCTGGGGGTTGAAGCCTGGCTGCTGGAGCTCCTCAGGAGGGGGCCTGGTCACTTTCCTGTGCTAGAGAGTTTACAGAGTCTATAACATATATCAGGTTTACAAAGGTTGTTCCAGGGAAGGTCTTTCCTGCTGCCTGAATAGCCAACAGTATGGTAATGAAAAAAACTGGCATACTATCCAAGCTATAGGGCCTGCCAAGCCTACACCCAGTAACACTCGCTTTTGTTATTTCTAGGACTAGCCTCCCACCCCCATCAACCAGTAAGAGAACTTCCAAACACTCATATCTCCATTCCAGCTTGTGTAACATTGGGCTTTGTGCTTTTTTGCTGGGCTGCAAGTTTCTAGAAGACTGGAACAGGGTTGTTCTGGGCACTGTGAGGTGCCAGAGGCCCACACATATAAGAGACTCAGCAACATTTGTCCAGAAAAGATACGGAGAACGGCCACCTGAGGACTCCTTGTGACACTAAGTACATAACAATGACACTCGTGGAGTAGAACGTAGATGCCACCTGCCTCCTTCCCTAAACGTGGCTGAACCCCTGTGGGCAGCACCCTCCGTGGACAGCACAGCCTGCCCCTTAGGCTAGCCCTAGAAGGATGAAAGCCATCATTCCACGCCCTTCTGTGATGGCTAACGGTCATCATCCACTGGACAAGATCTAGAATGACCTAGGCAGCGAGTCACAGGGATGGTCTGTGATTGGGTTAACTCAAGAGAGAAGATCCAGGCAAATGTGGGTGGCACCATTCCATGAGTCCTGGAAGGAGCAAGAGGAAACAGGTGTGCCAAAGGAGATGGCTCAGCCCACAGAGGAGCTTGCCACCAAGCCTGACTGGGTTTGAGCTCCAGGACCCACGTAGTAAAAGACCGTGAACGAAGTCCTGCAAGCTGTCTTTTGTCTTCTGCATGTACACAAGTGTGCGCACACTCACACACGTACACACACTCACCACAAATAAATGAATGTATAAAATGGGAAAGGAGAAAGGAGCTGAGCACCAGCGTCCACCTTGTCTGCTTTCTGACTGTGGACACAGGGCGATCAGCCACCTGGCACCCCTGCCACCATGGCATGCTCTACCACCAATGAGCCAAAATACAGCATGTCTTTCTGCGTTACTTTTGTCAGGTGTTCCGTCAAAGCAATGAAAATAACAGAGACTACGTGCTCCAATAACTGTCCATCAGGGCGCAGAGGCACCTGGCATTTATTACCGTAGATGGACAAGGCTGTACCGTTCATGGTTTAGAGTCCAAGCCAGTCCCTCCCTGACCCAGTTCACCTTATGTCCTACAAGGGACCCAAGTGTTCCCACGTCTGGGGAGCTGAATGAAGCAGGCTGGAGGGAAGGACCAATGAGGGAGTTTCTAGGGAACCATGGGGCAGCTGGTCTTCGACCTCCATGAGGCCCTGGAACCATGGTAACTATTGCTGAAGGAGTGAGGCGTAGATGATCTGAACCCAACCAAGACACGCTCTCTATTGTCTCGGCTGCAGCTCACGCAAGCCAGCAGGCGCAGGAAGCAAATTGTCACCTCCAGCACAAGCCCACAGACCTTTGTTGTGCAGGTAATAACCAGCTACATTGTGGAAAAGTCATGCTGGCCCACAGGGCACGCTGTAGGCACAGCCCGCTCCTTGACTAAGCACGCTTTGGTTAAAGAAATAAAGAGGAAAGAAAATCATCCAATAAAAAAGAAAAGTGTTTAAGATTAAAAACTTAAAAAAAAAGGAAGCAGTTGGCTCCCGTCATTAGAATGTTTTATCAAGCAACATCAAAATGAAAAAGAAATAAAAATAAAAAATGAACTGTCCCAGAGAACTGAGAAAAGGACAACAATATTAGTACGCGGGAACATGACAAACCTAAAAGCTGTAAATATTTTCCAAGTTTCCCATGTGTGGCCAGCAACAGTGGCAGCTCTGTCTCCTGTCTCCTCTCTCTCCCTGTTTGAAGTCTTCTCAGAACAACTTTGCCAAGAAAAAAAAAAAATGTTAGATAAGGAAACTGTCTGCCAGAGGTTTGAAAATTTTTTTGTTTCAAATATCAGAGGGAAAGGGATTCGGATTTGAGCATGGAACCGGGGCAGGAGTGAGGGTGAGGATAAGAAACAGGAAAGGGAGATGTCAGCTCGCAAGCACAATGGAACACGGTGGGGGTGGGGGATAAAGTCCACCCACAGGCACGAGCCCAAAAGAGGAATCTCAGAGATATTCTTGGGTAGATAGGAGCACCCAGTGAAACATGGTCTGTGGGGGAATGGAGGGTTTCTCAGGAAACACAAAGCACAGGCAGTGGGTACCTGGGGAGAAGTTGTGTGTCCTGGAACACTGTGTACCATGTGTCCTGTGTTTTGTCCAGTTCTGTCTTGCCACCCTGCTGGTAGGAGGGTGTCCTAGGATCCTAGGTTTCTTTCTGTTGCTGTGACAAACACTGTGACTGAAAGCAATATAGGGGAGGAAAAAGGGTTTGTTTCAACTCATACTGTCCATCAAAGAGGGGAGCCGGAGCAGGAACTCTCACTTCACCATCAAGGAAATACAGCAGGCCTTGCTAGGTGGCTTGCTTAGGCTTTTATTTAACTCTCACTCTACGTTCTGTCTAGGGAATGGTGCTGCCCACAGTGGGCTGGCTCCTTTCATTAAACCTGACTAGGACACAGTGACTGGAGTCCCAGGAAGAGTGGTTCACCAGTAGGAGTGCTGGGTGTGTACCTATAGCAAGTTCCCTGGGTGGTTTTGTACAGGGCAATCAAGTCCCTAGCTTAGCAGTTAAACAGTTCCTTCCACGGTCAGCACTGAAGGGTATCCAGTGGGTATTTATGGGCATCAGTTGTCTGGGATAGCCCGAGATGGGAAGATTTAGCCTAAATACAGGCGTCACCCCACAGCTGGTGGTTTGGATTGAACAAAAGGAGGAAGTGAGTTAAGCGTGAGCAGTCATCTTCTCTGCTTCCTGAGTTTGGATATGTGGGCAGCTGCCTCAGACTTCTGCCACCATAGACCGCAGGTCAGCCCTTGCTTCCATGAGGTATTTGCCACAGGAAAAAGTCAACCTTTCTTCCTTTCAGTCCAGTGACTCCAGGATTTGGGTCTCAGTGATGAAAAGTGGGGCCAGGAGCTGGGCCCACATAAGATCCCTCAAGCCTGTCCATGTGACCATAGTTCTCTGTAGTGCTGGATGCTCCTCAGGGTGCCCTGTGCACAGGGCCTTTGCAATGCTCCTTACCCTGCACAGAAAATGTGGGTGCACATGGTTATGTGAGGTGAACCTCAGAGATCATTCTTCAGGCACCGTCCAGGTCGTGTTTTGAGACTGTCTCTGAGGTGACCCGGAGTGTTCCAGTTTAGCTATCCGGGGAATCTCCTGTCTCCAACTTCCCAGTGCTGGGATTACAGACATTTGCCACCATGCCCAGCATTTTATGTAGGTCTGAGAATTGAACTCAGGTCCCTGTCTTGTGTGGGAAGCACTTCGTTGACTGAGGAATCTCCTTGCCCTTGTGGCTATCCTTCTAGAAACCTCCCTCCCCTTTGTCACTGTTAGCATCACCCTTATGGTGGCTTCCTTCATCATCACTGTCCCTTGTCACCTCAGGGGTGTTTTTCTCCTGTCTCCTTGCCTGTCTGCTCCACATGAGGGTCAGGGACTAGGGCTGATGGTACAAGCCAGGCCATCCTAACTACTCAGGAAGCTGAGACAGGAGCAGCTCAAAGCATAGGTCTGTCCGGGTTATAAAGTGAGTTCAAGGCCAGCCTGAGCCACTTGAGGAGGCCCTGTCTCAAAATTTTAAACAAGAAAACAAAACAACCAAACAAAAATGAGGGCTGGGAATGTAGATCAGAGGTGGAGCGTGTGCCACGCGCTGGGAGCAATTCCCAGTGCGGAAAGAGGAGCGAGGGTGTTGGTGGTAGGTCTAGAGGGCTCTCAGAGTAGGATGTGACAGGATGACCACCAGGCTCTCAGAGGACGGAGGTCAGAGGCAAGCTCCAGGGACCCTCTTTCCCTCACCTGTGCCTCCACTGTTGCGTCATGTGTTACCTGGCAACCGGTCTCCCAGCGACAGGGTTACACCTAAGGACTCGAAGTCCAGGAGCGTTACAGTTTGCGGAGACAGCGGGAACCATGGCTCAGAAACCAATCGGCACCGCCGCCGCAGAGCGCATGAACCTTGTGGCCCAGGATGAGATCTGGTAAGGCCCGTTGGGCTCGGCCCTTCTCACGTGCCGTGTACATACCTCGGTGGCCTCAGTTTCCCCACCAAGACCAGAAGACGCTTAACCGCTAGGCACAACAGGAGTGCTCTAAGGATAATCAAGGACCTGAAGGAGGGGGACGGGCAACGTTAGGGACACAGGGAGACCACAGTCTTCCTGCCCTTCCTTCCTGCCCAGTGTGGAGACTGGGAAAATGCCAATTGGGAATTTAAAAAGAAACAACAAAATTAAGATGCTAATTTCTGACAACCTCGAAGGAGGGGAGGCTCGCTGTTTCTTGGTTTTCCTTGATCCTTTTAAATGAGAAGAAATTTTAACTTTAAAAGATCCGGGTCTGTGTGTGGCGTTGGTGGCGCACACCTTTAATCCCAGCACTGGAGCTGGCACAGGCAGGTGGATCTCTGTGAGTTTAAGGCTAGCCTGGTCTACAGAGTGAAACCTTGTCTCAAACAGCAACAACAACAACAACAAATCCATTCTCTGAAAGATTTGTGTCCATCAGGCCCTTGCATTGGCTATTTTTTGAGTGCCAAATAGTATTCCATTATTTGACATTTTAACCACTATATAGATACAAGGAACATTTGTCTTCATCTCTCCTCCTTTCCCCTCCCCCTCCCCCTTCAGCGCCGAGTATGAATCCGGAGCCTCAAAAATTCTGGGCAACTGCTCTGCCACTGAACGACACCCCAGCTTTCTTTTTCTCACGTTTAATATTTTGAACGTAAGCTGGCATGAAGTCACTCTGCCACAGCTCAGTCCGTCCTTGAACTTAGTTAGCATCCTCCTACTACAGCCACATGATGGGCCCCAGGCTCACCTCTCAACTTGAGCCCACAGTGACCATCTCTATGGCTTTTATCATCTGCTTTAACACCTGTGTGGACAACCAATGATGGAGACTGATGAAGAGCATGCTTTATATCAGAACTGTCACAGGCTTGTTTTATAGGAAACTGTGTTAGTTCTCTTAAGTGGAAAATGGTGTCTCATAAATTTCACAATCTCAGTGTTTTAAGTGTTTATTACCACCCACAAACCACCAGGAAGAAACATTATTCTAGCCTCCTCACCCCACCAAACAAACTCCTACATATCCTTCAAGACCCAAATCAAAAGGCCCCTCTTCTCTGAACTGACTCACTTGAGCCCCAAGACTCTGCTTTCCAGTATCCAACATGACTCACGAGCACTGGAAATGGGCACTGTCAAAACTGAGCTTAGCTAGAAATGAAAATTTGACAAATTTCAAAGATTCACACTAAAGAAGTAACATGAAAACTATCAGTTGAGTTTTTTTACTTCCTCTGCAATGTGGCTATCCAGGAAATTTACAGCCACGTTTGTGCCTCCTGTCTGAGCCTCATGTTGCTTTCATCTTTATGGGCAATAGACTCCATGACTAGAGCAATGGCTCAGCAGATGGAAATATTCACAGTGAGCCCCTGGGGATCTGAGTTTACACCCTAGAGCCCTGAGAAAGATGAACTATCTTGACTTCTGACCTCCACACAGGTGCACACACCCAGACACAGAACGTACACGGGACATACACAGGCTCTGGAGCTGGTGGAGGGCTCAGCCTGGGAAGTGTTCGCACATAAGGATGAAGAACTGAGTCTTTCCTCCAGAGCCCATGTCGAAAGCATCAATGTGGTGAACACTTACAATCCCAGGGCACGGGAGAAGGAGACAGGCCATCCCTGGAACCTGTCAGTGTGGCCTGACCAGTGAGCCCAGATCCTACAGAGACATCCTATCTCCAAGACAAGGTGGAGGGCTCCTGCAGAATGACAACCATGCTGGACAGTTTTAGGTCAGCTTGACACAAGCTAGAGTCATCAGAAGAGAGGGAGCCTCAGCTGAGAAAATGCCTCCATAAATTCAGGCTGTAGGCAAGTCATAAGGCGGCATTTTCTTAATTAGTGATTGATGGGGAGGGCCCAGCCTGTTGTGGGTGGGGCCATGCCTGGGCTGGTGGTCCTGGGTTCTATGAGAAAGCAGTCTGAGAAAGCCATGATGAGCAGGCCAGTAAGCAGCATCCCTCCATGGCATCTACCTCATCTCATGCCTCCAGATTTTTGCCTTGTTTGAGTCCCTGTCCTGACTTTCTTCCATGATGAACAGGGATATAGAAGTGTAAACCAAACAAACCCTTTCCTCTCCAACTTGATTTTTGGTCATGGTGTTTCATCACATCAACAGAAACCCTGAAACAATACTCAAGGTTGACCTCTGTCCTTCTCACAGACCTGCACATGGGAACACACACACACACACACACACACAGAGAGAGAGAGAGAGAGAGAGAGAGAGAGAGAGAGAGAGAGAGAGAAATAGACTTTGTTTTCCAAGCTTGGGCCAGGGCTCCAAAACCTACAAGAGATGGGGGAGGGGTGCAGATTCTGATTCGCAGATAGAAGGAGCTTGAAGGATCAAGTTGAACTCCGAGTTTGCAGAACCTAACAGGGTGCCTCACCTGCTGCCCCCTAAGCTCAGCTCACAGGTGGGTGGAGCAGCTGGGGGCGACAGTTAAGAAGGCTCTCTCTCTCTGCACATCAAGTTCACACTGGATGAGTCTATACTTGCAGGAACCCAGGGGGAAGTGTCTTTTTAAGCTCCCTGCCCAGTTCCACGGATACTTGTCTGTCTCAAGCTGCTCTTCCTCCAAGGGTAGGTAGGGGCCTCCAGAAAAGAGGGCTAATGTTCAGATGCCCCTCTAGCAGCCAGTCCAGGTCTCACCGGATCCCCACAACATGCTCTCTGTACCATCTCTTCCCTCCACTGCCTCCTCTCTCGATTTGCCAAGGTCTCCCCATAAGTTAAGAGTGGCTCAGTCGAGGGCATCGAACTTCCCCTTCCACGCCCCCTGCAGACCCACCAGTCAGGTCGGTGTGCAGGGCTCACAGGCAGGCAGTTCTCCACGCCTGTGAGGTTTGCACGGGGCCTTTCTGAGAGTGTCGCCTCCCACTCAGGATTTCTCTTTCTCAGGAGATATCGCCTCAGGGCCGAATATGAAGCCCAGGAAAAGTGGCCGGCCAAGTGGGGATATTTGGCAACCCCCATGGAAAAGGTAATTGAAAGTTTATCAGGGGCCCTTTTCTCACCGCTGTCTCCAGGCTATAACTAGTCATGTCAGGGGAAAAAACGGTGACCATCCAATAATCGGAGAGAATGAATTGAGAGGACTTTGTGGGGCCATACAACAAGACACCTGATGTCCTCTTCTGGTGTCTGCATTGTGCAGGCACAGGTACACACACACACACACACACACACACACACACACACACACACACACA